AACCTAACCCTAACTAACCCTAACTAACCCTAACTAACCCTAACTAACCCTAACTAACCCTAACTAACCCTAACTAACCCTAACTAACCCTAACTAACCCTAACTAACCCTAACTAACCCTAACTAACCCTAACTAACCCTAACTAACCCTAACTACTCCATTTCTCTGTAGGGCTTCCAGGACCTTTTCGACGTGTATTTGATGTTCCTCGAAGGTATCGCTGTAAATAAGGATATCGTCAAGGTAGGCTGTGCAGAACATATCAAGGTAATCACGGACGCAATCATTAATGAAATGTTGAAAGGTGGCTGGTGCATTGGTAAGGCCGAAGGGCATTACGGTGTATTCGAAATGTCCGTAACGCGTTCGGAAGGCTGTTTTCCATTCTTCACCCTCAGCCATTCGGATCTGGTTGTACCCTTGGCGAAGGTCAAGTTTGGTGTACCACTTGGCTTTGGAAAGGCGGTCGAGAGTTTCCCGGATGAGTGGCAGCGGGTAGCGATTTTTGACAGTAAGTTCGTTGAGGCCACGATAGTCGACACAGAGGCGGAGTGTTCCATCGGCCTTTTTAACAAATAGGACAGGGGCACCGGCAGGCGAAGAGCTGGCCTGAATGAACCCCTTTTGAAGGTTGTCCTGTATGTATTGTTTCAGCACAATGAGTTCTTCGCGGGACATACCATAAAGTGGCCCAAAAGGGGGCTCTTTCCCTTCCTTAAGCGGTATCTTATGATCATAGGGGCGGCGAGGTGGCATCTCGTTAGCGAATTCTTCGTCCATCATTTTATGAAATCTCTTATACCGGGTTGGGACCCGGTTCCTCCAGTCTTGCTTAGGGGCCTCGCCCGTTGCTTGATCTATTTCCTCAATAGTTGTACTAAAGATTTGGAGTTTGTCTCTCCGAGCAAAGCGGCAAAGAGCAGCTGAACTGACGAGGTGAAAACGAGGCGGTGGTGCAACCCCTCTAATGGGAACGGGTATCGAGGAAGAGTTGCACTTGCGTTTACAATACTCGGAGTCGAATAATATGCTATTGTCCTTGAACCGTAATGTTGCATCGTGCAATTGAAGCCAGGGGATTCCGAGGACGAGTGGGTATGAGCCGAGTTTGGTAACAAAGAAGGGGGTCGTTTCATGGTGGGAGTCAATGGATAGCGGCAGATAGCAGAGGTGGGTAATTTGTCCAGAAGATATAGGCCGACCGTCGATGACTTCAAGAGTGCGGGGTGATTTAAGGGGGAGAAATGGGAAGTTGTTATGGCGCGCGAATGTTTCATCAATGAATGCGAATCCGGAGCAACCGGTGTCGATCAGTGCGTGAGTTTGAATGGGTGTTTTATTGTTTATAATTTTACAAGAAGCAACAAGATGATCCCCATCCAATTTATCCTCCACAGACGATACCGAGAAGCCAGAGATAGAAAACGCAGACAAAGGAGAAACATTGAAAGGTCCCGGGCAGGGGCCATTAATCAAGCCCGGGACTACTGAAAACCCGACTCAGAGGAGGCGGGACTAGCGACCGGTGGAGCAGCGGGGTCGACGGCCGTATGGCTGGGTGCGAGGAGGGCGCCTCTCATAACCGGTTGGTTACCGCGCGGGCGATTGGCAGAGGGGCAGTTGGCAAAAAGATGACCGGGGTTGGCACAGTACATACAGAGATTGTTGTCCCTTCGCCATTGCTTTTCAGCGGCAGAGGTTTTGCGTTGTCCATTGACAAAAGTGTATCGTTGTTTAATGGCAGGTCGTTGAGTGGGGCGGCTTTGGAGAGCGGAAAGATCCATTGGGACGAGGCCTCCGGCGGTATGAGATGGGTGTGCGACAGCAGCGGGGGCGGTGAATTGTCCCATTGTATTTCGAATGGCCCTTTGTTCAGCTTTGCGGCCCCGAACCTGGTTATCGATTGTCATCAACATGGTGGCATAGGCTTCGACAGTGTTAGGCCTGTCTGTCCGGTAGGTCATAGCGTCCTTCAAGTCTTCTGACAGTCCTTCGGCCAGGGCATCGATCTTGGCTCCCTCGTTATAGTCCAGGTATGCCACGATGCGGAGGAACTGCGAATAATAGGTAGCGAAATCCCCTTTGCCTTGCTTCAGGGCAACGAGTTGGCGACGGGCGGTACCCCGGGGTTCCGGGTCTCCAAACGAGGCTTCCAGGTGGGCAACAAAGGCAGTGACGGAGGAGAAGGGGGCGGCAGGGTTAGCGTTGACGAGTGGAACGACCTGGTCAAGGGCCCTTCCTTCCAAGCGACTGACTGCATAGATAACCTTTGCTGCTTCGTTTCGGAACCGATCGTGGTTGACTTCAAGTTTCATTCGAAGTTGGGTGGTGAATCCGGGGAGCTTGGTGCGGGTGCCATCGAATTTTTCAGGGTCTGGAAACTTTTCGGACCTGAAGGCGGGGACAGGAGCAGGTGGGGGAGCAGCAGGAGCAGGGACAGCGACGGTAGGGGCGGGGGCAGCGCGGGCGACATTGAGGTCGAGGTTGAGCCGGTTTATCTGCTCCTCCAGGTTGTCAATGGTTTCATTAGCGGCGGTGAGTTATGCATGGAGGGTGTCCCTTTGGAGGCGGACGCGCTGGACGAGGGTAGCGATGTTATCGAATAGTTCAGTAGAGTCGTCCTCATACATCTGTCTGAATGCTTCTACATCGTTGGGTGCGGCCCATACGGGTGGGTCGGGGGTGGACATGTCGTACGGTGCGGATGACGACGCAACGTAATCTCAAGGGGGTGAGTAGCGAGTGTTCCGCAGGGTACGAAGAGGATAAATAGGGGACGGTATGGGAACTCGCAATAGGGGTACTATGGGACTCTAGCGTTGATAAGGTTCGACAAGGCACGAAGGAAGCGAGGCGGTGGTCTTCTTTTAAAGAAAGAAGAGGACGATAATATTGTATAGCAATAGACAGAGTAGATACAGAAGACGTTGCGTAAGGAAAGAAGAAGGAAAAGAACGAGAAGTACAAACAACCCCCCTTAATATACTCAAGGAAATCCCAGCGATGACAAATCCAACATGACTCATACATTAACAATCAACAGAACCCGATAGAACCCAATAGAACCTTTCTGACTAATCCAACTCTTCGTAACCCCGTACCTCCACTAGTCGATCCATGAAAACCAGTATGTGTAGAGGCTTTGTTCAAAATGCGGAAAGGTAGGGGATGAGCACATAGACTATGTATAGTGGGGCTCCTTGAGGGAAAAGATCTCTCAAAGGGGCGAGTTGCGAGTGTTCCGCAGGGTACGAAAGGGGTAGTAGAGGTCAGAGTGAGAGCTTGCAATAGGGGTCCTGAAGGACTCTATCGGCGATAAGGGTCAACAGGACAGCTAACGATGGTCTTCCTGAGTAAAGAAGAGAGAAATAATATTGTATAGTAATAGACGGCGTAGGTACAGAAGACGTTGCATAGTAAAAGAAAGCAAGGAAAGAGAACAAGAAACGAGAACGAAACCGCCTAATATACCCAAGGAAATTCAAGCGATGACAAATCCAAAGTGACTCATACACTTACAACCCCCAGAACCCGATAGAACCCAATAGAACCTTTCTGACTAATCCAACTCCTCGTAACCTGGGGTACTAACTAATCTATCCATGAAAGTAGCCCCTCCCTTCAAGCGCTAACTCCTGCGAGCTTTAACCTTAACTTTTCCTTCCAACGGTCCGGGTTTGTCGGGGTAACGTATATGGAAAATATCGACGGCGGCAGTATTATCGTGGTATGCGGTGGGTTCTCAGGTGGGGTCGGTATAGCCTGTCCATTTAACAAAATATTGTAGACCGTTATTCCTTGTTTTCCGTTAGTCCAGGATCTCTTCAACCGCATATTGCTCTTCCTGTTCGACGATAATAGGTGGGGGTAGTGGTTTAATTTGCTCGCGCACAGGGTTGTTTGCGGCAGGATCTAGCAACGATACATTGAAGATGGGGTGTATTTTCATGCTCCTAGGCAGGTCGACTCGGTACGTTTACAGCGATATAATTTCCTTGACTGGGAATGGTCCCAGCTTCTGCCAGTCTAACCTTCGAGAGTTAAGGGTGGTTCGGATGTTTTTTGCTGAAACAAACACCATATTGCCGAGGTTGTAGCGTGGAGCTGGCATTCGTTTGTCATTAACGGCCTGTTCTTGTTAGTCTTGCGCCGTACGGATGTTGTAACGTAGGTGTTCATGGAGCTCTTTAATCTTCGACGCGAGGTCCATAGCATTAAGGCTGAGCGGAGTTCTGTCAAGAGATTTAATCGTCACTGTGAACCAGAGATGGAAACCATAGTTTGCGAAGAATGGTGTGGCCCTAGTGGATGCGGTGACCTGATTGTTGGTGGAGAATTCTGCCATGGGGAGCCATTTTACCCAATCGTCCTCTTGATAAGAGACGTATCCACGTAGGTATTGTTCCATTACGGCGTTCAGTCTTTCAGTTTGGCCATCGGTCTCCGGATGGAAGGCGGTGGACATTCTTGCTTCGATGCCAAGGTTTTTAGAGAGAGCCTTCCTGAATTTAGCTGTAAATTGCGTGCCGCGGTCGGAGGTGACATGCATAGGTAACCCGTGGAGTTTCCATATATTTCGCAAATATAATTGGGCGACGTTTTCGGAGTTGACGGTGGTGTTACAGAGTAGGAGATGTCGCATTTTTGTTAACCTGTCAACAACTACCATGATTGCATCGTATCCTTCGCTTTCCAGTAGGCCAGTAACAAAGTCCATTGATATCTCTTGCCATGGTTGTTCAGGAATCAGTAAAGGTCGAAGTACACTGAGTTTTCCATGGGTACTGGGTTCGCTTTGTTGGCAGGTATGGCAGTTCCGGACGTATCTCGCAATATAATTTCGCATAAGGGGCCAGTTGTAGTCTCGACTAATGAGTTCAAATGTTTTTTCACGTCCAGGGTATCCAGCGGAGGCAGCGCCGTGGTAATGTTGGAGGATCCGAGGTTTAAGAGTGTCGTAGTCCAGTACATATATGCTGCCTCGGTAGAGTAACCGACCTTCAAATTCGGTACATTCAGCGAGTGATATGTCCTTTGATTGTCGCTCGCCTTTGTTCCGCATATCCAGTATCTTTTGTGGGGACGGGTCAGCGTTATATCTTTCGTCAAATAGTGTATTCAGTGAGGCGTTCTTTTCAGCGGGTTCGTTTGAAAAAGAACCCGCCAACAAACTTAGCTTTGCTTCAAGATTCTCTTTCTTCAATACGACTTGACTCTGATGTAATTGCCTTTCATTGCCCTCTCCAGGGAGATCTCCTGATCTTCTTGTCAACGTGACCGGTTTCCCTCCTTGTTTCCCTGGTCGGTACTTAATGACAAAATTACACCGTGACAGATATTCCGCCCACCGTGCTTGTCTCCGGTTGAGTTGTTTAGTACTCATAAAGTATTCGAGATTCCTGTGATCGGATATGACGGCGATTGAGTGTACAGCCCCTTCAAGTTCCGGTCACCATTCCTCAAAAGATCGAATAATCGCCAGTAATTCCTCGTGGTAAATCTCGTAGTTGCATTCAGTGAGGGAGTGTTTTTTTGAGAAGTATGCAACGGGTCGAAGGGTACCATTATCATCGTATTGGGAGAGTACACCGGCAGAGACATAATCAGATGCATCGGTTTCCACAGTAATTTCTTTCTCCGGGTCAAAATGAGTAAGAATCGGAGCCGTTGTGAAGGCTTCTTTCAGGGCGTTGAAGGCAGTTTGGGCTTCGGGTGTCCATTCAAATTATATGTCCTTACGTGTCAGTCTGGTAAGGGGGGAAGCCAGTTCCGAGAATCCGCATATGAATCGGCGGTAAAAGTTAGCGAAACCTAGAAATGCTTGCACATCCTTAACTGTTTTGGGGACGGTCCAATTCTTCACTGTCTCCAATTTTCTTGGCTCCATTTTAATGCCGTTAGGTTCGATGATGAGGCCGAGGTAGTTGGTGCTTTGTGTATGAAACTCACATTTCTCTGGTTTCAGCAGTACTCCATGTCTTTGTAGGGCTTCCAGGACCTTTTCGACATGTACCTGATGCTCCCTGAAGGTGTCACTATAGATGAGAATGTCGTCAAGGTAGGCCGTACAGAACATATCCAGGTAATCACGGACGCAATCGTTAATAAAGTGCTGGAATGTGGCTGGCGTATTGGTAAGGCCGAAGGGCATGACTGTATATTCGAAATGCCCGTAACGCGTACGGAATGGTGTTTTCCATTCTTCACCCTCAGCCATACGGATCTGGTTATACCCATGGTGAAGGTCAAGTTTGATGTACCACTTGGCTTTAGAGAGGCGGTCGAGAGTCTCCCGGATGAGTAGCAGTGGGTAGCGGTTTTTGAGAGTGAGTTCATTGAGGCCAAGATAGTCGACACAGAGACGGAGTGTTCCATGAGCCTTTTTCACAAATAGGACAGGGGCACCGACGGGCAAAGAGCTGGCCTGAATGAAGTCCTTTTTAAGGTTGTCCTGCATCAGCAAACCCGCAACCTCCGCCAGACGCTCTGGACGCTCGAGGCGCCCAGGGCGCTCGGTAGACAAACTGCCTCTTCAGAGAAGCAGCAGAGCGTTCCTGGTGCTCCCTGGCGCTTAGCATTCCGCCCTGGCGCGCACTAGGCTACTCGCGCGCCCTGGCGCACACTAGCCCTCCCAACGCACCCCGACAGTGATACGCTTACCCCGACGCAATGCTCTCTCGCCTGACGCTCTCTCGACGGAATGTTCTCTCGCCTGAGACTACTACCTATCTCCTGGATGCTCCTGGAGCTCTCGCGACGCCTCAGGAAGCGTTTTGTCCGCTCCTGAACCTCTCTGACGACTCCTGGGCATATCACTAATGCTTCTGGAGCACTCCCGACTGCTCCAGCGGCGCCCGACGCACCGCATTTTACCTTTCAGCGCCATGTTTTTACCAGGCATACTACTCTTTGCTTTAGTAGGCACTGCTTTGCAGAGCATCCAAAACCGTGATTCTATTACTAAATACTAACACTACAAGCGTCTTGAAATCGCCAATCGAATATAATACAGGTATATAGGTATCTCTCCAAAGCACTCGCCGCTGCTCTCCAAAGCACTCGCCATTGCGCTCCAAAGCACTCGCCGGTGCCCTATAGATCCTTTTCCTCCTCCCCTCCCTCGCGATCCTCATCTTCATCCTCCTCGCCTTCCTCTTCCGCTTCAATGCCCCGAAGTTGAGCCTGAACCACCTCTTCCTGGCCGCCACCGTTGTCGGAGATATCCCCTGGAGCACTCGGGGGTGCTCTCCGAGCATTCCGGAATGCCGCAAGATCCGCCGCTAACGCTTCGTCGTCCTCGCTAAATCCATCTTCCGGTATCACCTCAATAGTGATACCCTTCTTCTCTCGTATCTATCAAGGTTAGCCTCCGTATGCAGAAGAGCGCTCCACCATTGTAGCACCCATCTATAGCATACCTTCTCCCGGAGGTTATCCTTGATTACCTCCAACGTTGCCTCCTGATTCTGCCTACTCCTCCCCTTCCATGTGTTGCTCATCCTGTTGAACGTTTCTACTCGTGTGCAATGTCAGCGCGCGAATCCACTATAGCTCTGGGAGCATCTGTTACTGCTCTCAAAGCACTCGCTATAGCTGTAAGGGGATCAGGGATGCTTACTGACAACACTCTCATTCTGTGACTGGAAATGGTCAGGCTTCACGTATGTTCCCGTTGACCATGCCCGAATGCCATGCCAAATTGCAGTGGATATCAGGCAAATAAATGTAGGGGTAATCCGCTCTAGGAACTCGAGGTCTTTTACCCCTCGCATCCTGACCCCATCAAAGTATTTATAGTACAATATGTCGATAATCTCTGGCGCAAGAAACCGTAGACGGTAGGTCTAGTATCTATTAGCAGCGTTTGCGAGTGCTCTCCAAGCATTCCGGGTGTCCAGGTGCTCTCCGAGCATTGACACCCGAGTGCTCTCTAGTCATTGACACCCGAGTGCTCTCTTAGCATCCCCGGGTACTCTCTAGGGATTGATCATACCTCGTAATGCTGCGCAGGGCTCAAGAAGCGATCATTCTTTAAAAGATACTCTACTTGAGCAGCCCTCGCCTCAGGACTCGAGAGCTTTCCAAGCCCATAGATGGTCGAATCCGCCAGGCGCCCTTTAACCTCGTGCATCAAGTGCGAACGGACTCGGGAGTGTAGACTTCTGACCTATCGTTGTCAATTACGCTTCCAGAGCACTCGTCAACGTTTCAAGGGCATTCACCTGTTTGATAACGACCTCGTCCAGATCTACCGCACATCCCACCCTGCGACTGGCAGCTGCCCACATGTTCACTACCAGTACCGAAAGCCTCGCTGCAGGTGGAAAAGGCTCATGTAGAAGAGTGTGGTCCCCAATTAGCGTGCTGCACTCCTTCTCAATCCTCTGAGCCTGCATTGAGAGAACGTTTGCACTCCTCGAGCTAGGTAACAAGGATCTCTGAGATAGGTTGCTCGCATGAATGTTAACAGTGCTCTCAAAGCGGTCGTCAGTGCTATCGGGAATACTACTAACCTCGCTTTCTGCTATAGGAGCATTTCCTTCCCTAATAGACGACGAAAGCTGTGCAATATCGTAGACTCTTGGTTGCGCTTCTGGTAAATATACCTGAGGGCTTGAGGGAATCCGGGGACTGCTCATAGAGCTCTTGCCAACGCCCTCAAAAGGTGGGGAGGAACGATAGGGGCGGTAAGTAGGTGAGGACTCCCCGTATCGAGAGCGCAATGAGGAAAGATCGATATGGCGCGTCGAAGAGCTGTAATCATGATAATAAACAGGTTCAGAAGGCCTAGACTGTGTGGGTATTGGCGGTGCTCTCTGGGATGCATTCTGGCTGGGTGCCGAAGTGGGAGCTGCTCTCCGTACTACCTTTGCACCCGGACGTGCTCCCCTCTAAATCGTTAGCGTTTTGTCCTTAACATTAATGGGTGGGATGGAGTCGAACCTGTACCACATCCACCGACACGTCGGAGGAAGCAATAACCTCCGCTACCGCTCCGGTTGGTCTCCTCCGAGCATTGCCCAGTGCTCTGGCAGTAGTTGGCTGCACTGTACGAGGCCTCTTCCCCGTACTCTGGGATCTCTGCTGAGTGGAGGCTTGAGGTTCTTCCGACTCCTCCGGGTGGTCCAGGTTCTCCTCAGAGCTCTCCTGGGCGTTCTCTGGGGAGTCATCATACTCCGAGTGGCTGGTATCGGCGGTTTCCTCCACCTCTGGCACATCCTCCTGATGCTCCTGCACTTCAACGCTGTCAGTATTGCCATCGGGGAGATGGAATTCTACCCTTCTAGGGCTGCTTCTTCCAGTGGATGTGTCGGTAGAACACAGAAGCCCTTTACGCGCTATTGGGGCGGTTGTCGACTGACTACTCCGAGTGCGGGCTGGCAGTGGAGTCAATGGTCGGCAAGGTATCTCAGACTCGTCAGTCAGTAAATCTTCATGTTCTTCAGGTCGTCTTGGGAGTCGTGGGCGCTTTGGGGCAAGAGGTGCTGAACCGGAGGAGCGCTTGGTGGGAGCCATTCTGATGGCTAGCAGGAATATCCTCAGTGCTCTAGGAGCACTCGCGGTATCTTTGATTAGAAATCAATTCTTGGCGAGAAAATTTGCGCCGCTAATCAAGAAGAATTTGCACGGCTAATCCTCCTACGGCAGGGATCCGCTCAACCGCATCATTTGTAATCACTCGTTTTACTGCACTTTGCACTTTCTGAAGCAATACCGAGTGCTCTGAGAGCAATCTAGGAGTTTGACTCGACTCTAAAATAAAAGCAATGCAATTACGACACGGAATAATCTAATCTAATCTAATCTCATCTAATCTCATCTAATCTCATCTAATACGACAAAACACATCCATTGATATATGCTCGCAAGACAAAGGAAATCCAAAACATCAAATCGTACAGCACCTCCATCTCAGTAGCACTCGCGAGTGCTCAGAGAGCATTCCATACTGCTATTCAAAAACCCATCAATTCATATATGCTCGCAAGACAAAGGAAATCCAAAACATAAAATCGTACCGCACCTCCTCCATCTCAGTAGCAGTCGCGAGTGCTCAGAGAGCAATCTGTACAGCTTTTCAAAGGTTAGTAGTGAGAAATCCGCAGGAAGAGTGGTGAGAGACTATACCAAAGGAGACTAATGATGCCCACCACCATCACCACCACCACCGCCTCCACCGCCTCCAGCTGGCCCACCACCTCCACCACCACCACCACCACCGCCTCCACCACCGCCTCCAGAAGGTCCACCACCACCACCACCACCACCACCGCCCGGAGGTCCGCCCGGAGGAGGAGGAGGAGGAGGAGGAGGAGGAGGAGGAGGAGGAGGAGGAGGAGGAGGAGGAGGAGGAGGAGGTCCGCCCGGAGGAGGATTACCACCACCACCACCACCACCACCGCCGCCCGGAGGAGGATTACCACCACCACCACCACCACCACCACCACAGCCCGGAGGAGGATTGCCACCACCACCACCACCACCACCACCGCCTCCAGCAGCAGCCGCGAGTGCGTCAGCAGCTCTCTTGGCTGCTATCCCGGCAGGCGTCCAGATTACTCCCTGTGCAAAGTTTGCGTCAGCAACCCCTACACCCAGAGGATACTTCCTCAGGTATTTGGGGTCTAAGTCGTCGATAGCATCCTGCTGTCTATCGCGACGTCTAACAAGAGTCTGGATTAGCCTTTGATTACTGGCATCAGTTCTGGGCAAATATACCCTCAGTCCTTTAGCATTTATGCGGTGATTTCCCTCCTCGTAATCAGAGTCCTCTGCTGGAATATCGATCGTGGTGTAATCGTCTTCCTCGATATGAGGGAATGCTCGTGTCAGCGGCGGTGTTTCAGCACCACCCAAATTAGCACCCGCGCCCGCTCTGTGGAGTACCGCCAGTATCCTCCGAGGCCTGCCAACGCTATTCTTCAACCAACCCTCGACCTCTTCCGAATCAGTGATCTGCACCTCCATCGGCCGAACAGGAGGATTGGATGCCGGTGGAACGTTATCGAGTGCTCCCCAGATACTCCTGATTGCTCTGCCGGGTGGGGTGTGCTTCAGGATCAAATTGCAGAGCCCTGGAAACGTTATCTTGGTCAGAACTCCAATGAACGAATTCTGATTTCGTCGATGGTTCCAGTAATAGATAGGGGGCGGGGCAACCCTGGAGAATGCTCCTAGAGCATCCGGGTCTACCACCGTAACCATTATGGAAGGTCTATCGAGATCTGCGGACACTGGGTCCCGTTTACGCTTCTTAGAGCGTTGGGCGGGCAGACCACCGTCCTCATCATCATCGCTATCGTCAGCAACTTCTTTATACTCGCGATTTCCCTGCCCCCTCGATAGCTTTTCCTTCTGCCCAACATCACCGATGAGCCACTTCAAAGCGTCCGCGAGTGCTCTGTGGGTTGCGGAATCGCCTCCGTTCCACATAGGCAGGAAACCACGGAGAGGGCGTATGTTCAACACATGGAGGCATAGAGCCTTGAACGCTGCTGCTCCGGAAACGGTTTTGTTGACCCAACCGGTGTTCTGCATCTCCGCTTTGAGGCTGTTGCGGATATTAGTGTACAATTTAGGGAGGTTGATCAAACCTAAAGCCATCTTTGCTTTGTTTACCTCAGTCATTCTGCCGGGGTATCGGGCTTGAGAGATTGGGGATGATGCTTCTGGAGCACTGGCGTATGCTACCTGAGCACGCGAGGGAGTTTCTGGGGCACGATCTCTGCGGCTTTGCCTCTGCTCTGCCGGTGGAGGGGAACTAGGTATTGGTAGCCGACGGCGATGTCGGGATTGAGAGCTCTGTGAAGCACTGGCGACTGCTTCTGGAGCAGGGGCACCAACTGGGAGTACGGTTCTACGGACAGGGGCCGACGGTTGTGGCGGCGAGCTGCCCAATTCTGGGGAAGTGCTGGAGACTCGTTGAAGTGCTCGTCCTCCTTGGGGTTTTGGGCCTGCTGCTGGGCCTGCTGCTGTCCCTGCTGCTGGTCGCTTTGCGGAGTGTGTTGCTGGGCCTGCTGGGCCTGCTGCTGTGCCTGCTGCGGAACGTTCGCTGTCGGACTCGGCTTCAGATTGCACTGATTCCCACTCTTTTGGGAAGAGTCTCGAGTGCCGAGTGGGCAGTGACGAGTGCTGAGGGGGCGGTGACGAGTGCTGTCGGGAGCTTGAAACCACTCGGGGATGCTTCCGGGAAGACGACGACTGCGGCGGGGGTGTCTCTTCTATCTCTTCTGGGATAGGCTGGAGGCTTTTCTGCTCTTTGCGAGACGAGGAAGGGGAGGACTTCTCGTTCTTCTTCTGCTCCTTCTTCTTCTCCTTCTTCTCCTTCTTCTTCTCCTTCTTCTTCTCCTTCCTTTCCTTCCTTCGGCGTTTTTTGCTATCTGATTCGTCGGTTTCTGGATCGCGATCTCGCTTCTTCTGTGAGCGCTCTGGAGTGCCCTGAGGGGAGGATGAAAGCTATAGTGAATATGTGATGAGTATGGTTCTGAAAGCAATAGGATTAAGGAGGATATACCATCTTATATATGATCGCTAGGTGTGCAGCTTGAAAGCTTGAACTTGAAACGAAGCTTGAAACTTCAAGTTGAAGCCTAAACTTGAAACGTGAGCTGAATGCGCTTTCAAGAGGTATCTTGAAAGCTTAGATAGCAGGGAGGGGCTTGAAGTGATAGGTAGCGCTGGAAGATGGTTAGGAAGCTCTCACAATCTGGAAGGAGGAGAAGGGTGCTCTTATACCGAATACAATCAGCTATTCCAGGGCTCATCATGCTTCCGAGAGCACCCCCGTGTGCTATACGAGCATCCTCGGGTGCTGTACGAGCACCCCCGGGCGCTCCCACCAGTGCTGCATATGGTGCTCCAAGCCGTGCTGAATGTTTGCTCCAATACATGACGTAGATCAATGCTCTAGGCGCACTCGAAGATTCTACTCTGGAGGTTTGATTCAATTGAATGACGTAGATGAATGCTCTAGGCGTACTCGGGAATGCTCTGACGGTAGTACCAACAGTGGTGTCGATTGGATTCCTATTTTGGGTTGGTGTTTGTGTTCTTGTTGGTGTCGGGGCTCTGTGCGCTATGAAGCTGAGTCGGAGAGTGTGTATCCTCTGAGCGCATATCCGATATTAGTATCGAATTTGGCGGTGAGAATGGTCTCTCCATGATCTGAATAGCATCCGCGAGTGCTCAGAGAGAGAGAGCGAATGCTGAGAGGGTAGAACGGAGCATCGTTGGCGGCATGATTGTGGTGATTGTTGTTTCTTCTCGTTGTATGCTTGTGTTTGTGTTTGCATTATTCCGTTGGAGATGTATGACGTCAAAATCAGCCTCGCTATGGTGGAGGTGCGAGCGCAAGGCTCACAATCACTTGGCGAGCGCTCTGCAGCGAGCACTCTGTAGAGCACTCTGCACAACCGCTTGGCGGCGAAAGCCTCATTGGATGACAAATCGTTCGTAGAGCACTCTGCACCGCCTGCAGGAAAGAGCCTCCGCCTTGGCAGACTGCAAATTCTCGAGTCCAATGAAATCGTCTTGCCCTTTTTGCAGCAAGAGGTACAGCTCCTCCGCGAATTTTGACAGACATCTTCGAACGATCCATCCTTTGGAAGCAGATGAATGGCTGGGAAATCAATATTCACTGCTGGAGCACGATCAACCTGCAGAGACCCCCGACAACACTGACGAGAGCCCAGAGAGCATTCCCGATTACTATTCAGACACGCATTACGATTCAGAGTCGGACATTTTCGACCAAGATTCGGGTAACAATTCGGACCTCGAATCCGAATCATATTTCGTGATGGAAGAGGCAGATGGCGATTCAAATGGGCATAGTAGGGCATCTACGACAGTTTACGAGGGTGCTGGGGAGCCACTTTACCGCTCGGAGGACTACGACGAGTGGTCACAGAGCCTTCTCCAATACCCATGGCACCCATTCCGGTCAGCATACGAGTTCAGAATAGCAAGCTATTTCACACTGTCCAAAGCCTCACAGGGGAACATCGACAGCTTCTTTCTACACGCTCCGCCGAGTAGTGGCGAGTGCTCCTACAGCACTGGGCGGGGTTTTATCAAGAGGTTGGAGGAAATGAACGATATACTGGGAAAAGCGAGCTGGAATCATTCGGAGGTGGATATTGGGGGGGAGAAGATCTCTTACTACTACCGGGATCCAATGGTAGTCGTCCGATATCTTCTAGGGCAACGTGCCTTCCGGGAGTCATTGGTGTATTCGCCCGTGGTGGAGCATAATGAATTCGCCGAGTGAATGTACGGGGAAATGCATACAGGAGATTGGTGGTGGGAGATACAGGTCCGTAAACTTCACCCTGTCAACTTGAGGTGCTCTATGAGCAGTTGATGATGCTACAGGAGCAGTCGCTAATGTCTTCTCGACAGAATACGTTACCGGAGGGGTCCACTGTCGTACCAATTATCTGCGCGTCGGATGGCACACATCTGACAAATTTCAGCGGGGACAAGAAAGCCTGGCCAATCTATCTTACCATCGGGAACATCAAGTCGTCGGTGCGCAACAAGCCCACAGGGCATTCATTCATTCTCCTAGGGCTGCTACCAGTGCCACCGAAGCTCGGAAAGCATACAACACTCGCTAATTCCGTTTTAAGACGTCAGAGTCAAATGGCACTGCATCGTGCCCTTGGGGAGATCTTTCAAAGCATTCGCGAGTGCTCTCAGGAGGGCGAGCTAATCAAATGCGCCGACGGCTACGAACGACTATGCTTTCCGGTGCTCTCGGGCTGGATCGCCGATCAACCCGAGCATTCAAACTTGCAAAACATTAGCACTAGTGCTTGCCCGAGATGCGAGGTGGAGTTTCACAATCTTGGGAGCACTCGTCGAAGCTCTATGCGCAATCACGAGGACTACAGGGAGAGGGTACAGCTATTTGGCGATAACCCGGGCAATCTAGAACCGGTAGAATACCTTGTTGGGAGATCCGTCAAAACACTCTTCAATGCTTTCTGGGGTATGCCGAGGGTTAATCCGTACGATCTCAATAAACCGGACATACTGCACAATATTTACCTGGGGATGTTGAAGCACATGATGGAGTGGATTCAGGGTTTCTTGAAGAAGCATCATCGATTGGAGGAATTCGACAAAGCTTGGGCTTCGATTGCGCCTTACCCTGGACTAGCAGTACCAAACAAGGCATATCGTTCTACCACCCAATGGCAAGGGAAAGAGATGCGGAATCTGGGGCGGGTCGTTCTAGGAGCACTCGCGGCTGCTCTGAGAAACCCGGGAGTGGCTGTCAGGAGCGACTTCGCAAAAGCTTTGAAATGCGTTCGAAGCCTAATAGACTTCCACTTAATGGCGCAATATGGGAGTCATACAACGAGCACACTGGACTATATGGAGAGCTATCTCGAGGATTTCCATAAACACAAGGATATCTTTTTAGAATTCAGGGCGTACAAGAAGACGTTAAAGGATGCGAGAGATCGAACGAAAGCAATTAGTGGCTCCCAGAGCACCCAGCGAGGCTTGGAGGAGATCCGGGAGATTCGGGAAAGATCGCACTTCAACTTCATCAAATTGCACGTCTTAATGCACTACCGGGAGCACGTTGAGCGCTTTGGTAGCATTCCTCAATACTCCACGGACGTCAGCGAGCTTGCCCATGTACGGCAGGTAAAAGAAGCTTACAGAGCGTCCAACAAGGTTGATGCTACGACGCAGATACTGGACTATGGAGGGAGGCGATTGGCATTAGAGATTCGAATTCTGAATCTGAAAGACATCGTCGGAGGTTCTGAGAGCACTGATGACATCCTCTGGAGCCATCGGGATAACCTCAAGGAGTTGCTCGACATTTTCAAGATCGAGGACCGCAAGAAAACGCCAAATGAACGCTCAATAGTAGAAAGTGGACTGCCCCTGACGCGTCTTTGCAACCCCTCCGCGAAATCGGAAAGACTTTTCAACGTGGCAGACGGACTGCAAATGAGCCATCTCACGCTATATCGCCTGATAAAGGAGTATGCCGAGGATGCGGGATGCTCTCAGAGCTTTGCCGGAAGCTCTGAGAGCATGTTGGAGAGCCGGGTGGAGGTTTTCACATGCTTGCAGGTTCCGATACCAATCTTCCAAAGGCCTGACGTATATGAGGTTCACAACATCAGGTGTACGGGAACAGCATCTTTTAGGAAGGGGAAAATAAGAAAGGATTGGGCATGGGTATCGGTAGGTTCCTCAGAGCAGTGGGGAGTATTTCGGGGACGCTTACCAGGACGTGTGGAGGCTCTGTTCAAGGTGCGGGATAGCACAGGGTGCGCACATAGACTATGTGTAGTTGAGCTGCTTGAGGAGAAGGATCGTGGTATCGCTGATAGCTCACATGGGCTGCTGAAGGTCTGTAGGAGGAGGAGGAAGAGGATGTGGGTCGTGAATATTCGGAGTATATTAGGAATGTCCCATTTGTTCGAGGTGGATGCTGGCAATTGGCTGGTAAATACTAGGATAGATTTGCGTACGTGGAATGAATTCAGTTGAATGCTGTAAAGCATTCCCGAGTGCTATGCAGTGATGTGAGAGGATCACCGAGTGCTATGCAGTGATGTGAGAGGCTTACCGGGTGCTATCCAGTGAGAGCATTACCGAGTGCTATCCAGTGATGTGAGAGGATTACCGAGTGCTATCTAGTGATGTGAGAGGATTACCGAGTGCTATCCAGTGATATGAGAGGAATACCGAGTGCTATCCAGTGATATGAGAGGAATACCGGGTGCTATTCAGTGAATGCTCTGAGGGCAGTGGCGAGTGCTCTACGAGTGGAATGTTAGACCCAATAGGACCGTCTAATTCAAAATTCGTGTCGTTCTGCTAGTACGCATGCGGATTGGAAGAGGGAGGTGAGTATCGGCCGCTCAGTATCTGAGTCTGACTATCCAGCAAGCCAGCTCCAGGAGGGCGCTGTAGGCAGGCATTGGTCTTCCGACCAGTAAAGTCATCCTGCACCTTTTTCCAGTCCATGTTTGCTGCTTATGCATGGACATTGAGCTTTTCAGACGAGCCGTACCATGGCCTCAACCTCAAGGCTTATGCCTTTCACGAATCGACAGATACATACACGTTCGTCAAAGGTTTGGTAGCCATCTCCAGTATACACGACAGTGCTCGTATCAGTATTCCTCGACTGACCGTTCAGCGGCGTGAAGAATACCCACGTGAGATATCGTTTGAGGGACCGGCGATGCCTACCTTGCCTTTGAAGAAAGCGTATCGATTCATATGGGTCTAAGTGGGGGGTGTCCCACCTTGAATAGTATTATTAAAGATGTTTCCGCAGCTCTACGAGCATTGGTCAGTGCTATGGAAGCATTCGTGGTGCTCTCCAGACGTGAGCAATATCTCTTGGCAGTGCCTGGAAAAACTCATTGACGAAGAGTGTCTTGGCATGGGCGATATGCTCTGGCTGTGCCTGGCGAGCAGCTCATTAAGAATGCTCTCCTAGCGCAGATAGTACTGATGAGTGCTCTCTAGGCGTGAGCGATATTCTCTGGCAGCGCCTGGCGAGCAGCTCGTTGTGATTTGATCTCCTGGCGCAGATATTACTGACGAGTGCTGTCAGGGCGCTGACGCTGTCTCCTGGCGGGCCCCGACACGTCCGTGATTCGTTGCCAGTCCCTGGGTGGAAACTCATTAGTTGATCGTTCTTCAGACGCAGGAGGCATACCCAGGCGTGTCATGGCGGAGAGAGCATCGCCGGGTGCTCTCAGGACGAGCACCATATCGCCTGGAGGTGCATGACGCGTGAAAGTGCACGACGCGCCTAGAGAAGATTGCGGAGAGAGCATTGCTGGGTGCTCTATGGATGTAGGTGATATCGCTCAGAGTACTCTGTAGACAGTAGCATTAGCGAGTGCAAAGAAGCTCATTAGGGAGTGCGAATATGCTGCTCTGACAGCGGACTGCTTGGAGCGAGTGCTCGAGTTGCAGTCGTGAAAAGCTCTCTTCTCTGACTTGGTCAGATGATTGGCACTGCGCTCTGGCGGAGTGTATAGACGATTATGCGCCCTGGTGCTGCCAGACAGAGAACATACTGCTCTGGGGGCGTCGGGCGCGGATGCTAGGATCGCCTGGTGCGAGCACCCTGCTGTGGCGACGCCTGGCGCGAGCACCCTGCTGTGGCGACGCCTGGCGTGAGGACCCTGCCCTGGCGACGCCTGGCACGAGCACTCTGCCCTGGCGGCGCCTGGCGTGCCTGGCGCCCAGGGCGTAGGCGCTGCGCCCTGAGGAATAGCAGAGTTTGCTGATGTGTATATATTGCTTAAGTACGATGAGTTCCTCATGGGACATGCCATAAAGTGGCCCAAATGGGGGCTCTTTTCCTTCCTTGAGCGGTATCTTATAGTCACAGAGGCGGCGAGACGGCATTTCGTTAGCGGACTTCTGGTCCATCATCTCGTGAAACCTCTTGTACTGGGTTGGGACTCGGTTCCTCCAGTCTTCCTTAGGGGCCTTGCCCATGGCTTGGTCGATTTCCTCGATAGTTGTGCTGAAGATTTGGACCTTGCCCCTTCGAGCAAAATGGCTGAGGGCAGCTGAACCGACGAGGTGGAAGCGGGGTGGTGGTGCAATCCCTCTAATAGGAACGGGTATTGCGGAGGAGTTGCACTTGCACTTGCAGTATTCGGAGTCGAACAGTATACGATTGTCCTTAAACCGTAATGTGGGGTCGTGTAATTGAAGCCAAGGGATTCCAAGTACGAGTGGATACGAGCCGAGTTTGGTCAGGAAGAAGGGGATAGTTTCATGGTGGGAGTCAATTGACAGCGGTAGGTAGCACAGATTGGTAATCTGTCCGGAGGATATGGATCGTCCGTCGAACACTTCAAGAGTGTGGGGTAATTTAAGGGAGAGAAATTGGAGGTTGTTATAGCGCGCGAATGTTTCATCAATGAATGTGAACCCGGAGCAACTGGTATCAATCAATGCGTGGGTTTGAATGGATATTTTATTGTTTACAATTTTACAAGAAGCAACAAAATGATCCCGATCCAATTTATCCTCCACAGACGATATCGAGAAGCCAGAGATAGAGAACGTAGACAAATGGGAAACATTAGAAGGTCCCGGGCAGGGGCCATTGATCAAGCCTGGGACTACTGAAAACCCGACTCAGAGGAGGTAGGACTAGCGATCGGTGGGACAGCAGGGTCGGTGGCAGTATGAATGGGTGCGAGAAGGGCGCCCCTCATAACCGGTTGATTACCATGCAGGCGATTGGCAGAGGGGCAGTTGGCGAAGACATGGCCAGGGTTGGCGCAGTACATACAGAGATTGTTGTCCCTTCGCCATTGTTTTTCAGCGGCAGAGGTTTTGCGTTGTCAATGGACAAAGGCGTATCGTTGTTCGGTGGCAGAGCGTTGAGTGGGATGGGCTTGGAAGGCAGAGAGGTCCATTGAGGCGAAACCTCCAGCAGTGTGAGATAGGTATGCGACAGCGATGGGGGCAGTAAATTGTCCCATCGTATTACGGATGGCCCGTTGTTCAGATTTACGGCCCCGAGCCTGATTGTCGATTGTCATTAACATGGTCGCGTATGCCTCTACAGTGTTAGGCCTGTCTGTCCGGTATGTCATGGCTTCCTTCAGCTCTTCCGACAGTTCTTCAGCCAGGGCATCGATCTTGGCTCCTTCGTTGTAGTCTAGGTAGGCCACAATACGGAGGAACTATGAGTAATAGTTGGCGATGGGTGGTACCCCGAGGATCTGGGTCCCCAAACGAGGCTTTCAGGTGGGCAATGAATGCAGTGATGGAGGAGAAGGGGGCAGCAGGATTAGCGTTAACGAGTGGGATGACCTGGTCAAGGGCCCTTCCTTCCAAGTGGTTGACTGCATATATAACTTTTGCTGCCTCGTTTCGGAATCAATCATGGTTGATCTCAAGTTTCATTCGGAGTTGAGTAGGGAATCCGGGGAGCTTGGTATGGGTGCCGTCGAATTTTTCAGGGTCTGGGAACTTTTCGGACCTGAAAGTAGGGACAGTAGTAGGTGGGGAGGCAGCGGCAATGGGGACAGAGACAGCAGGTGCGGGGCCGGCGCGAGCGACATTGAGGTCGAGGTTGAGCTGGGTTACCTGCTCTTCAAGGTTATCGATGGTTTCATTGGCGGAGGTGAGTTGTGTACGAAAGGTATCCCTCTCATGTCGGATACTTGGACAAGGACGGCGATGTGGTTAAATAAATCAGCAGCATCGACCTCATACTGCCGCTTGAATTCTTCTATATCGTTGGTTGGGACCCATGTAGGTGGGTCGGGGGTGGACATGTCGTACGGTGCGGATGACGACGCAACGTAATCTCAAGGGGGCGAGTAGCGAGTATTCCGCAGGGTATGAAGGGGGTAGTAGAGGTCGGTGTGGGAACTCGCAGTAGGGGTCCTGAGGGATTCTAGCATCGGTAAGGGTGAATGGGACAAGGGGGCAGTGAAGCGGTGATTTTCTTGAGTAAAGAAGAGGAGAATAATATTGTATAGTAATAGATAGCGTAGGTACAGAAGACATTGTGTAAAGAAAGAAAGGAAAGGAAAAGAACAAGAAATAAGAACGAACCCTCCTAATATACCCAAAGAAATCCCAGCGATGACAAATCCAAAGTGACTCATACATCAACAACCAACAGAACCCGGTAGAACCCAATAGAACTCTTCTGACTAATCCAACTCCTCGTAGCCCAGTATATTCACTAATCGATCCATAAAAATTACATACTGATATTAAAACTAAATCACAAACACTTTTGTAGAGTGGCTGTATATGTAGGTCAATGGGTGTACGTTACATACGTTACCAAATAATTTGAAATGTCTCGTTGGGCTATCTATAGAGTAGCTAGCTACCTCTTTTTTTTCTTTCACAGGACATGTTAATTAAATGTCCAAGGTTAACCCTTGCTAATGTTATTGACCTGGGACTTGGATGGGATGTTGAGCTATACCTTGCGAGTTCACAACCATGCCGTAAAGTCCCCGGATCCAAGTTAGTTGATGGGTTGTTGAATAAAGATTTGATTATACGGACGGTTTTACCAGATCAACCACACATTCAAATATATATAAACATTCACATCCGATGGGCTCAATTGGACATATCAAGAACCAGTTGATATAATAGGGTTTTGGCTACATCAGTTAAATATAGTTTGATAGCAGACTTGCAAAAATGCATCCATTAAGAAGCATGTGTATGACTTTCTATTTAATTCGAGAAGCTAAAATCTCCACTGTGACTGAGCAAATTCGAATCTATGTACCAATGAATTCTCTCTATCTCCAACATCTTTTCATGGATCGACTAGTGGAGGTACGGGGTTATGAAGAGTCGGATTAGTCAGAAAGGTTCTATTCGGTTCTACCGGGTTCTGTTGATCGTTAGTGTATGAGTCATGTTGGATTTGTCATCGTTGGGATTTCCTTGAGTATATTAAGGGGGGTTTTTGTTTGTATTCTTGTGTTCTTCTTCTTCTTCTTTCTTTACGCAACGTCTTCTGT